CTAAAAATATAGTAGAAGAATTTAGAAAAATAATTATATATATTATTTAATAAATAATATGTCAAAATTAATCTAAAATATATAGGCCCTATAGCTTATATAGCTAATATAAGGCCTTTTAGATGCTGAGAAAGGCTCACTTTTTTGAGGCCCTCGGTGGATTAAAAAACAGAAAAAAGTTAAAAAAAAATCGTATGCTTTTAAATAAAATTTGATGAGAAATTAATTTGTAATATTTGTTTCGAGGCCCCTCATAAATTTAAGGCCTGTATCGAACGACCTTTATCTATCTTAGAGTTCTCAAATCTTGTTAAAGGATTTTTAGAATAAAATATAAGAAAAAAGTCAGAAAATATAATAAATATTATTTAGAAATATAGTCTTAAAAATTATTTTTTAAACAAAAATCCATTTATCCAAGATCCAACAAAAATCCAAGATAAATGATGAAGTTTACAAGAATATAAATACACTAAAAATCTGTAAAGTTTATACTTATAATAAATTTATATTAATTTTACTCTAAATTCGGGTTGCATATAACCATATAAAACGGAACTATAAGTTAGCATTAATTTTAATTATACATTAATTCAATTAAACTGACTAAAACCATTGCAATAATATAGAAATGTATTTATAAGTTATAGGAACTAAATGATATTAGAAACCGTTATAAATCTATGTATATTGTTTGATAAATTTATAATTTAAGTATTAATATAACAAGGATAACTAATATTGCTCGTTTATGTTCGATTATTATTCATATATTGAACATTTCCATGAATTAATAATAAGTAAAGGTTACCGTTTGGGAATTCAATATGCCTTTAAATTCTCAAAGCAATATAATCAACTTAATGAGTAATTAACACATTTTAAATAATTGGAATTGTCTCCTTTCCTCACTTTTTATCACTAACTGCAATTATTTTAGTTATTTTAGTGATTAGTGAGCTTTACTTTCACCTTAAATAATTATTAAATTTAATATTAGTGGAGGTAAATTGAGAGTATTTGGGATCAAAATAGATAATATATACAGTACATCATTTTATAAGAGTTAATTATTTGTATAAGGTAGCTTAAGTTTAAGGATGAAGATGAAGATAAATGTATTGATATCATTTTCGTCTTCCCCGTTTTGTGTTGGGCCAGATTGGTTTAATCCTTTCATCCTTTCCTATTTTCCTATTATTCTCTTTCATGTAACATCTTTATGTTTCTTTCCCATTCTTTCCAAGTTTTTTTAAGTCGATCTCTCCATCTCTTCCTGCTTTTTCCTCTCGATCCTTTGCCTACAATTTTCTTAATTTCAGATATTTTATAAGAAAAGTTATTTATCTATTTATTCATTTGTTAAATATAATTACGATTTACATTATTAATTAAAATATTATACATTTTAATTGATTATTTTTAGTATATTGCCCTTTTATTCTATACTTAAGTAGCATTATTAATCTCTAAATTTAAAGAAACTTTTAAGAATATTCTCTATTAGATTTATTATATTTTATTTTTATAATTAATTTTAATCTTTTGATTTATAAACTGAACAATATTAATTAAATTATGGCTTTATCTTAAGAAAATATCGACGAAACGTTCTATTAAAGATGCTGCATACTCTGAACATTATAAACATAGAATAATGCATGTTAATAAATTGAACAGGATAAACAATTTACGTTATNATAATTAATAAGAGATTTTTCTTACCCAATTTTTCTAGAAATTTTTAAATGTTTCACATTTTTTAATTAAAATGAGGATTTTATTCTTTGACGAATTAACTAAAGGATGATGATCATATATTTTCACACAATAATACAGAAGATTAATTTGCATATTCGATGAGAATTGAAAAGAATGATCTTTGCAAATTGGATGCCACGAATTTTATTGTTGGAAAAAGGAATTCTCGATATTTTTGCCATTGAAAGTGTGCATTAAATTGCCAGGAAAAAGTTAAATGCGTGAGTTGAGAGAATCTTCTTCTTATGAATCCTTAGAGAAAAAATTAAATTTGGAAATGAAATCGTTTTAAATGAATAAAATTTTCAAAAAGGCCATAAAAGCGCAAAATAATCGTTAATTTATATTGTTATTGTTAAGTTCAGAACAAGGAAATTTACATAGAATCAAAGAATAATGATACCCTTTAAAAAAGTTGGATTAATTTGTTAATGACTATATCAAATCCTGGAGTAGATATAGGTTTATAAAAAAGGATTTCTGGCTCATTTTCATTAATGGAGGATCCAATTTCATCAGGATTCAGAAGATAGTTTACTCTTTGTGATGCCGGCAAAAGGATTTATCGCACTCGATACGACTTGATTGAGCAGAGATAATTAAGATTTAATGTTAAATCCTTAGATATTTTGGGAAAGAAAAATCCTGAGAGATCCTAAAGATTTCTGTCTATTTCCGTTAGTATTTTTATCAACAGATTTCATTGAAAATGGTGGAATAGTAAAAGAATTTTTGAATAAAATTTATTAGATTATTTATTATAGATATTTTTTCATTATTTTCTTTGTGAATAGAACTAAAATTACACTTTATAGAAAATTTTTCGTCTTTTCCTCTTCTATTAACTAAATGGAAGATAGAATTTTTCTTCTTCCTCTTCTTCCATCATCTAATGGAAGAAGAGGAAGAAGTAAAATTTTTCATCCTCTATCTAAATTCCATCTTCTTCCTAGTTGATGGAAGAAGAAGATAGCAAAAATGTCGTTATTTCTATGTAGTATTTATATATAGATTATATATAGAAGTATGATCTATTTTATAGGTCTATATAAGTTTCTGCTGTTAATAAGTCTTCTCCAGGTTATCCTACCTCTTCCTTGCTCCGATATCTTTCACTATTTCTTCCAATTGTATACTCAAATGTTTTTCTTCACTGTCTCACTTTCCTCTTTTAATGGTTTTCTTCTCACTGATATTTTTATAAAAATCTCACTAGCAAATAAATCTAGGATAAATCTAATATTTTTAGATTTAAATTTATTAATTTAATGAATAATTTTTGAAATTCTCTTAACAATTTGGTGTTTTTGCCATGTTTATTAAAAATCTAAAATAGTCATTATCTAAGAATTTGCATTCGAAATGAGGACATAAATGGCTTCTAAATTTGATTACTGTATAGAATTGACAAAGTACTCGCTATACAATAAATTAAAATCTTCGATTTAATAAGTCTTCTTCTTCAAGAACGAATAAAGAGAAACTAAATCTTTTATGTTGGTTATGTATAGAATCGATTTGAGATTGTTTAATTTTACCTTTCAATAGTAAATCAATATAAAGAGATTCTATAGAATTCAATTTATCTCTAAGGATATTGAATGTTTGTTGTATAATTCTCCGAATCATTAATTTTCTTAGCCATCCGGAAAATTAATCTTTTCAAATTTCTCTTCTTTCAAATTAAAAAAATAAAATAAAATTCTTAATATTGAAACATCTCTTTATATTTAGAGGATGTTGCATTAGTTTTACTTATCTCCAACATCACGTTTCGAATTTGTTTATTATCAAACTAATGACATGTAAAATGATTTTTTAAATTTAATTAGAAAACTGAAATTAAATTTGAGATTTATCATGTGATTTAAGGCATTTCAATGTACGATTTATCTAAATAATATACCTCTTTTTGTTAGATTTCAAATTAATATATTTATCTGAATTCTCAGATATGGAAATTTTTGTATCTTGAGAATTCAGTAAGCTATAATTATTGAATATTCAATTGAATTTTCTTTATCTCATGATATTAATAATAAATTTATTTTAAGAAGTTAAAGATTAGTGGACTGCCAACAATTGATATTGTGTAGAATACAGAGAATGGTTTAGATTGGTTTGAAGATTACTTTAAAATTAATTGTTATTAGCTAATATGCAAATTTTAGTAATAATATAAGAGATAGTGTGCTTCAATTATTGTTAAATTATCATTTTACAAGTATCTCAGCTATACAAACATGATAACTTATGAAAGATCATCTTGTTATTCTGATACAAAACTAGTTAAAATGGAATATTTAGAATAAACTGGATATTTAGATGAGATTTTTTAAAATTTAATTATATTTTGTCCATGAAAAATTAATCGAAAATCATACAAAATCGATTTTTAAGGTATTTTTTTGGCATAAATAATGTAAAAATGTAAAAAAAAGAAAAATAAATTTAATGAAAAAAAGATTTTATGAAAAATAGTTGAGTTTATTCGAGGAATTCCGCAATAAATTACGTTAAAAATAATGTAAGTTAGTTTCTAATTAATTTCAGATTAAATGATAAAGAGAGATTTATCCAATAGCAATAGGATTCTCATTGTGCATATTCATCAAACATGATATATTCGCTGTAAATGAGAATGGAACATCGATATAACGCAATTACAGATAAATATCAGAAAATATATTCATAAACTTATAAATTTAAATAAACTTGTTTGCTATTTTAATAAAATAATTTAAAATTTTTCTAAAATAAAAGTAGTTGATGCTAATAGATGCAAAGAGAATGTGGAGATAAGGAGCATTCCAGATCTTTAATAATGGGAAATTATAAAAATTATAAAATAGTTAATATTAGAATTTAAAATTTGTTATATATAAAAGAATATTTAGAAATTTTCTGTTTTTCTATGTGGAAAAATAAAGCTACAGATTATTGAGCACACTATTAATAGGTCATTTCTTAAACATGGTGCATATAGCATAAAAAATTCTTATAGAGAATCAACAAGAAAGCACTACACGTGTTAGAAAGGTATAAAAGTATAATTTATTATGAATCATGTGAATCAATGATACATTATTCTATTTATTAAAATAATATGAAGTGAGATTTTCTAAACTAAATTTGAGAAAAGTAATTGGAATGTCATGTCTAAATTGTTTAATTAACTTAATAGCTAACTAGTTTTAGTTCTCATAAAGTAATATTTAAATAAATTAGGATGTATCCGAGAAACTATATAAAATTCGTAAAAAATGGTTGGAGGAATAAAAATAGTCATGTTTATAAAGTGATAAGAAACTTAATTATCTCTATTTATTCTTTAAAACTGCTTTAAAAGCTTTGGAAAACATTTTTGAAAGCTTTCATGAAGCTAAATGGAATTCATTATTAGACTGAAAGTTAAAGAAATTCGATTTAAATTAACATTATACTTTCTATAATTAATGCTAAATTTAAAGTGGCGAAAGTATAGTAAATTTTTAAAATTTATTTATAAAGTTTAATTTATAAATTAAGAATATTAAAAAGATTTTGTTCGATAATCATCTAGGTATCATGAGTTATTAAAGAGAAAGTTGCATTTTTGAAGTATGCTGTCTAAACTTTTCTCAATTTATGGCAATCAGGAGAATGTAATTTAAAATGATGAGAAGATAAACTTGTTGAAAAATATTATTTTCTTTATTTAAAATAATATAATTAATGTTTAGTTCAACTAGAGAAAGATTTGAGAAATGCAATCTATAGTATTAATGTTCGAAATGTTTACTAAGAAGGAAATGATATATTTTTATTCATAATATAATAGGATATTTACACTATAATTATAATAATTATCAAGTAAATTTCTCTATTTATAAACAAACTTTCAAATTATAATCACAAATGACTAATTAATAGGAATTCAGTACAATTCGAATTAAAAGTTTTCTTCCCCTGTAAATGCGCTTTCTCCTTTTGACGTTAAGTTCGAAGGTGAAGCCAACATTTAGCAAACTTTTATAAATTAATTTTTGAATAATATTTGTAGAGTTTATAAGAATATTATTTAATTAATGTATCAATATAATAATATTTAATTTACGTAATTCAATACATTTAACAAATATTTATCACATTTTATATTGTAAAATACATAAATAATTAGTAATTTCTATTGTTAAAATTGTATCAATTTATTAAATTAATACCAAAAGTAATGAAAGAATTTAATAAATAATTTAATAAAGATTCAAAATTAATTGTTATTATTAATATTATTATTTTTAAATAAACACTTAATTACTATTAAGTATTTAGTTATGTGAACAAGCTTTCCTATTATATAATGTAACATATAATCCATAGACTGTATCTAAATATAAATGTAATTAAATTTTAAAGCTTTTTAAAAAATAATTATTGTAATTTATTGGTATACTTTTATGTAAACAGCTTATTTAATTCGTAGTTAACATAGTGAATAGAATAAATTACGCTAAAACATATCTTCTAATATAATTTATTCTATTGAATATGTTAACTACACGTTAGTGAATAATTAACGAATGCTTTTAAAAATGATTCACTGATTGATTGTTTAGAAGTAAATATGTTAAATATTACATTCTTATATAAACAGCTTATTTATTTAATTTATAGTTTACATATTGAATGAAATACTTTATGCTGGAAGGTATTTTCTAGTGAGTGACATGGCATTTGTGTTTGCTGTATTTTCAGTACTTTCGTTACATCAACAGGAAGTGCCCGGAGCCCTCAAACGAAGTATACTCTCGCAATTCGCAACTCAAGAGAAACGAGTAGTGGTGTATTTTCCGTCCAGACCAATTTCAGACCTCCCTCTTAGCGTGCGATTGGAAGAGTTACTCACTCAGGTATATTGAGAATTTGCATATAATAGCCTTATACTATAGAAATCTTTATTTTATTCCGTGTATTTAGGCTTATAATATCATTAAAAATTACCCCAAAAATTATAAACATAAAAATCTATAAATGGCAGAATTATTCATATAACAGAATGTATAATTAATTCATTTTCTTTTAAATAAATCAAAACGTAATTGTTTTAAAGTAAATTGCAATTAAATGAATATAAATTTTATAAATATCTGTTTAAAATTCATATATTAATTAAATTTTTCACGAATAATAAATGACTTTAATTAAAATACGATAAGAATTCTTTCTAAT